AAAATACCATACTCTTAAAATCTATAAATTCACAGAAGCTAATATGTGTATGTAATACTTTCACTGATTTATAATATATGTATTCTCATTTCCATTCAAGATTCAATAATTAGTCACAGACAGAAATAATCATTTTGCCCCTATAGTTATTCTCATTAAGCATTTTCTTCATCTGTCGTATGGCCAATTACAAGTTTCGAAGTTTAACCGTCTTTAAATAGTGATGATGGACAACGAAGATCTAGTGGAGCTTCGAAGAAGAGTCCTAGGTACACTACACCAAAAATGGTCATTTGCAACACATAAAATGCAACATTCGGTAGTTAAGTGTTGTTAAAGGAGTCTATCACAACATTTTAATAAGTGAATGTTGCTATTGGTTAACAAAATTGAGCTTTGGCAACGTTTTTTAAATGGATGTTGTTAATGTTACCTTTTGCAACGTTTATTAAATGTTGCAAAAAGTTCCATTTTTTACAATGTTTAACTTTTCGCAACACTTAATAAACGTTGCGAAAAAGGTTCTTTTTGCAACGTTCATTGACCGGTGCAAAAAGTTCACGTTTATCAAATGTTGCAAAAAGTTCCATTTTCGCAACGTTCAACAAAACATTGCGAAAACATTCCGACATTTTTTCTTTTTGCAACGTTCATTGAATGTTGTAAAAAGTATCCTTTTGCAACGTTTTCTAAACATTGCGAAAAAGAACCCAAATAAAATTATATATGGATCCAAAATAATCCAAACCCTAGAATTTAATTCATGCCTCTCCCCTCTCTTCTCCTCTTCTCCACTACCCTAAGTTCACGTTGATTTTACCAAATAATTACAAAATCACGTCGGATCGAACTCCAAAATGCAGACTCTCATCATTTTTTTCAAACGCTTAATTCCCTCAACGGCTTCAGAACACAATTCAAATCCAAAAAGCTTGGAACTAATAATTAGAATAGACTAACCATTTTGGAGGTAGGGGCCATTCTCAGTGGCAGAGAGATGCATCTTGATGTCCGCGAGGGTTTCGCATTGGCAGAGGTTGTTGTAGTCGGAGGCAATAAGAAGTCCAGATCAATGGCCTTGCACAATCGTCTCCAGGTACCCTCCGTGAATGTTGAAGGTCAGCGCTTCGAATCCACACATTTTTCTACAGATTTGAAGCGAATCGTATAGTTTGGAAAGATAAAATTTATGAAACCCTGAAAAAAACCCTAGATCGATACTTTTAGATTCTCCGATTTACTAATGGAGGCGATTTCTGCAGTGTCGATGTATGAAAGTTTATAGAGAATTTGTTAATTTTGAAAATGTGGTTCTTGTACGGTAGAATTTATGTATTATTCCCTGTAAAAATGATTAATTCAGATTTTTGTCTAAATTCAGAGACTTTGTTAAAGAAAATGAGATTTTTGTCTATAATTGGGCTTCAACCATTCAATGCTGTAAGAATGTAGAGCTGTTGCTTTTATTAGAAAAATTGTTCATGTTGAAGCTGTATGAATGAACATCTCATGAGTTAGTGGCTTTCTTCTAGAATCTTTTTCTCATGGAATAGTAGGGAAAGCATTTGAAGAAATTGTAGGACATGCTATAATAGGTACTTGAAAATTCTAGACATTTGGGTTTGTGTTTCATTGGACGAGCTTTTGAGATGTGGAGTTTGAAACTAATGAAATATCGTATGAAGTTATATGTTATAGGGGTAAATTTTTGAGAGCTATTATGTTTGCCAATTGTCAAAATTGCTTTCAATTGATTATATGATTTTAACATAAAAATTTTTTCCAATCGAAAGTGCCCAAAAGAGTGGTGCTTGTACACCATAACTTATTCTTTTGTGAACTTGAGCTTGATTCTTAATATAGCCGTGAGGATGCAATTTTTGTTATTTATCTGGGTGTGGGAATTGCAACGAAATATGGTGTGGCCTCCACAAATCAAACATGGAATGTCTTCAATGCCTAGGTTGATTGCGGTTGCAATTGACAGGGATAAAGGAAGCCAAATTTTGATCCATGTTAAAGCAAAACAGAGTTCACCATTTTTGGCTACATCCGCATCTCTTCCTTTGCCAAGTAAATCTCTCTCTCCTTGTCTGTGTATGTGGGTAGTGTACATATTTGTGGAGTTGCTTGCCTGCAAATTGTAGTACTGATGTTTTGGCTCGGGCGGAAGAGCAGGATGGAGGTGGTGGTGCTTTGGGTAATTTTTTGTTTCCATGCACGTTTGAATAGGTTTCATTTTTCGTAAGTAAAAGAATCTACTTATTTTGGTAGTAAGTTAAAAGGTTAGTTTCAAATCAGCTTGATTAGTAGATAATCAATTTACAAAACTTGAGATTGGCATGTGAATGATTTGGTAAGAGATTGAGGCCATGTCCTCCGCGTTGCTTTTATATTTCTAGTAACATACAGTTGAATATTGTTCGAGGATTGATACGTTTTCATAAAATAAAGAGTTCTGAAGTTATCATAGTTAAGATTTAGATACAAAATATATGTTGCATTAATTAAAATTATCATATTTGTTGAGACGCTCCACCAGTTAAAGTGCTTGGTTTCTTTTAGTGTGTATAAGCAGTTACCAATTAAAATTTACACAAAGTCAAACAGGTTTAAATTTTTACAATCTAGTCATTGTAAAAATTATCATATTTTAGTGAGTTCAATTTTCGTTTTGATTATTGTTTTGGAAGTTTAGGTAGATGATGGGGATAATTTTGTCATTACATTCTTAGTTGTTTGTCCTTGGCCTATGTTGGTGGTTTTTCATTGGTCGTTATCTGTTGCATTATATTTATTCAGTTCAAATGATAATACTTATCTAGTGAGAATTATGTTAGCTAAACTTTTTATTACCTTGTTTGTATCAACAGTCTGCAATGGATTAAAGAAGTTGGCCTTGGAGGAGAAAATCATCCGATAAGCAAGTGGCTAAGAAAGCACCCCCTTTTATCC